AGAAGCCTGTGGGCTACAGTCCATGGGATTGCAAAGAGTCAGATACAACTGAGCAACTAACACTTTCATAATTGTTCTGAAAAGTGAAAGTGAAAGTTGCTCAGTCGTGTCCGACTCTGTGATCCCATGGACTATACAGTCCATGAAATTCTCCAGGCCAGAATACTGGAGTGATAGCCTTTTCCTTCTCCAGGGGATCTTCCCAACCCAGGGATTGAACCCAGGTCTCCCGCATTGCAGGCGGATTCTTTACCAGCTGAGCCACAAGGGAAGACCAAGAATACTGGAGTGGGTAACCTATACCTTCTCCAGGGGGTCTTCCCGATCCAGGAATTGAACCTGCAATGCAGGCAGATTCTTTACCAACTGAGCTGTCAGGGAAGCCCATAATTGTTCTAGTTAATTATTATTGTTGTTGATTCTTTTATTATTGTTGCTGTGCTTAATTTATAAATTAAATTTTATCTTTGGTACATATGTATAGGAAAAACATGGTATATACAGCATTCAGCGGTTTTAGGCATCCACTGGGGGTCTTGGAACGTACTCCTAGAGGCTACTGTGTGTGCATGTGTGTTTAAGTCGATTCAGTTATGTTATGTTGTGCATAACAGTTGTGTAGGTGTGTGTGCCAGCCTTCCTGTTTTACATTCAAGTTCAGAGAAACCAGAGACAATGTGCATAGATTTATTTGCGTAGGACCTTGAGAAGCAAGTTGCAAAACTAGACACTTGATGAAGTCATTTCACTCTCAGTGGTGGTGGTGGTGGTGATTGTAACAAACACTGGTGCTCTCAACCCCCTTTGGCAGAAGGCTTCTCCAGCAATTAACTTTCCTCATAACAGGAAAATGAAAAGGGTAAGAGGCATGTTTCCAGTTTGGGGACCCAAACTCTGACTGAGTTGCTATGATGACCACAGATAATAAGCATAAATCCTAATCATGCTTGGTGTTCAGGTACAGAGTAAAGAGATCCTGTCTGCCCGCACTTTCAACATATATGCTCTGTCATGCATCACCGCGTGGCATCAACAGCATGAGGATTCCCTCATCAAATGATGAATCAATCTATTATTTCAATGTTAATGGGACCAATCTGGCATCAATAATATTTCCTAATGACAGAAGGAATCCAAAAGTTAAGACAATTCAAACCAAATTATTTCCCAAAAGAAGGAGGTCTTTCATTGAACTTGGTCCGTTCTTGCCATTACCAATCAGTGAAACCATTTTGTTCAAATTTAAAAAGTAACAAAATAGTTTTTAGGGCTAGAAAGGCCCTTAAATACAGATTAGTTTAACACTTTCATCTGAAAGGGTGAACATACTGAGTCTCACCCAGTTTACAGAACTCAAACAGGCTTTCCCGGTGGCTCAGTTGGTAAAGAATCTACCTGCAATGCAGGAGACCCTGGTTTGATGCCTGCGTTGGAAAGATCCTCTGGAGAAGGGACAGGCTACTCGCTCCAGTATTCCTGGGCTTCCCTGGCTCAGTTGGTAAAGAATCCACTTGCAATATGGGAGACCTGGGTTCAATCCCTGAGTTGAGAAGATCCCCTGGAGGAGGACATGGCAACCACTCTAATATCCTTGCCTGGAAAATCCCCATGGACAGAGGAGCCTGTGGGGGTCAGGACTACAGGACTTGGGGCCACAAATAGTCCGACACGACTGAGCGACTTTCACTTTTCACAGAGCTCAAACAGGACTTTACCCCACCACTACAGTGCCTCTCAATCTGGCAGTGGACATATTTAAAAAGAAGTCAGCATTTTAAGGCTCATCAATTTTTCTAAAGCAGAGAAAGTTGATAGCTTTGTATGAAGAAATTATGCCATCACCTTTCATTTTTTTTTCCCTTTTTACCAAAGATCATACTGCAATTTCTCTCTCTGCAACCTCATTTGAGAGCGTTCTCTATGATTCAAGTTTTCTTGAAATGAAAAGGGTAAATTGTGTTAAGTTAAAGTTGGGGGAATGGGAAGTTGATTGGCCAACCTGTCGTCAAGGAAATCAATCTGTCTCTATCTCTGTCTCATGCACACATACACACACCACCATCACCACCACCACACAATCCACCAGTTAATACAGTGCCATTTAAACTCTTCATCTGAGGTTTTAAAATTGTTTTAAAATACTCAAGAGCTCTACTCTGAAAATCTGTACAGAACTACTTCAAGGGAGTGATTCCTAGAATCAGACTTAGAGAGGCCTTTTTCTAATTCTGGGGAAACCACTGTCCTTGTGAGTCAGTGCTATGTCTCAGAAATGTATGACAGTCTCCAAGGTCAATGTCAAGTCCACAGCAGAATGAGACTGTTGGAAAGATAAGTTCTTCAGTACCTATTATACTCAGTGCAAGAAGCTATGCACTTAAAAAAAAAAAAAATGGGGCAAGGGGTGGGAGGAGACCAAGCTAAAAGGGATCACAGAAAGTGAGATGGAATTGCCTGTTATTAAAAGTATGTACCATCTCCCCACTCTTCTTTTAGAGGAACACATCTCCCTGCTCCACCAGTGTCGGGCTTGGCCAAGTAACTTGCTTTGGCCTAACTGCACACAGAGTGTGCTTTCTCCCAGACTTTTGGTTTCTGCATATAACTTGGTTTGGCTGATAGGATGTTGGCAGAAACTTAATATGTTCTCGCACCACTGGGCTTGCTCTCTTGATACTTTTCCTTCCCAAAAAGAGCCTGCCCTGGCCCTCCTGCCTTTCCAAGGAGGATGAGGGAAGGGTGGGGCACAGCTGCCCCCGCTGAACCTGCAGAAGCCCCAGGAAGCCCAACTGAGCTTCCCAGACAGGCGAGCTCAGATCAGCCAACTCGAGCCAACCCGTAGGCACACAATCAATAATGACTTGTTCTTTAAGTCACTGCATTTTGGAGTAGTTTCTTATCCAGAAATGACAAACTAATCTGAGACCATCGAGTAGAATATCTTCATGTACCACATTTTCAGGGCTACATAGCAAACTAAATGAGAAGAACTTGGCCAAAACTGTGGGTCTCTTGGCATTTCCACAGAGTACATGTCAATCCCTCTGGAAAATCATCACTGAGAGAACAAGCATCACATGCCCCATGGATAGAAGGGCTCACAGACCAAGTGGACCCCATTAGGATATACAATAGGAACACCATAGAGCCTTGCTGCCCCTAGAAAAGTTATCAGAGACCTGAAAGTCTGGAAAAAAGCTACCCCAAATCATCCAGCAACTGAGGAGAAGCTGTGCAAGAACAGACTAAAATGATTAGGACTCCGGCCTAGAAGGACATAGGCTGAGAATCAGTATGATTCAAGTCTATTAAATATTGAAGAGGGTAAATGGTCTGACCATGGGTTTGTTTGTCAGATGCCAGAATTTTTTTTTTTTTTTAAGGAGCATACTCAAGAGACTCAGATGTATAGAACAGACTTGTGGACTCTGGGAGAAGGCGAGGGTGGGAATGTTTCAAGAGAACAGCATCGAAACATGTATACTATCTAGGGTGAAACAGATCACCAGCCCAGGTTGGGTGCATGAGACAAGTGCTCGGGCCTGGTGCACTGGAAAGACCCAGAGGGATCGGGTGGAGAGGGAGGTGGGAGGGGGGACCGGGATGGGGAATACATGTAAATCCATGGCTAATTCATTTCAGTGTATGACAAAAACCACTGCAATGATGTAAAGTAATTAGCCTCCAACTAATAAAAATAAATGGAAAAAAAAATAAAGGAGCATACTCTGAAGCATAAAAAGGGAAAATATAGGGGCTATAGGAGATGGGGGTGACAGAGGGTGAGATGGTTGGATGGTATCACTGACTCAATGGACATGAGTTTGAGCAAACTCTGGGAGACAGTGAAGGACAGGGAAGCTTGGCGTGCTGCAGCTCATGGGGTCTCAAAGAGTCAGACACGACTTAGTGACTGAACAGCAACAAATGTATATATAGTTATGACTGATTTGCAATGATGTACAGCACAAACCAACACAACACTGTAAAGTGATTACCTTCCTATTAAAATAAATAAAAGAAAAAATCTACACAGGATACTGGTATTCAATTTCTTAAGCTTGGTGATAGGTATATGTTCATTTTATTAATATTCTTTAAATTCTACATGTTACATGCTCTTTGGAATATATATCTCACAATTAAAAGAAAACATGAAGAATTTTTTTTTTAAAGGGAAAATACAGGAAAAATAAGGGGAAGGCCTATATTACTTTACATGGCTGAGAATTAGGGTGACCATGCAACCTAGTCTACCCAGGTCAGCCTTAGTTTCCACTGCTGTCCTGCAGTAAGTATGAGTAACAGCCCCTCTTACTTTGAAATGTGTACAGTGTTGGATACCAGATGATACGCCCATATGGCTGATGCATATTGTACCCACAGAGTTGATTAAAATGGGCCCAAATAAGGTTTATAAGGGGCTTCCCTAGTAGCTCAGTGGTAAAGAATCCATCTGCTAATGCAGGAGACGTGAGTTTGATCCCTGGATCAGGAAGATTTCCTGGAGAAGGAAATGCCAACCCATTCCAGTATTCTTGCGTGGAAAATCCCATGGACAGAGGATGGGCTACAGTCCATGGGGTCCCAAAGGAGTTGGACACGACTGAGTAACTAAACAACAACAACAGTTTAGATAAGATCGTGGGGAAAGACTTGCCGTGGGTTGTCAAGGCAAATTAGACCGAGGTGTGGAGGGCCACTGCCCCCCTTGGAACACGCCTTTGGTACAGTGATCAGAGACGGTCAAGGCACCCAGCGACTGACCCAGATGGGTGGGCTTTAAAGACTGGGAAATGGTGTTCTTTAGGCTAGCACCATGTACCCTGGGCCACCCTGGGATCTTCTCTAGGAGCCCCTTCTGTATAGCTGAGCATACTCTTTGTGGATACTCAAAAGTGATAAACATAGGCAACATGCCCATTCTCATCATTCCTTCCATGTCACTTCAATACACACAAATCAAAATACATGGGAGAAGAATGGAGTTTTCTTCTTACCCACTCAGAGGTCCATATTGCTTCCTGAGCTCCATGTGGCTTTCCCAGAAACCCTGCAGAAAATAGCACTATAGTAAAAATCAGATGAAACAGAATTTCAAATATTCAAACTTCTTCAAGAAAAAAGTCTGCAATCATGAGAACACAATTACATAAACCATAAAAAAATAATTGAAGTGGTATTGTTTTCAGAACTGTTTCAGTTCTCAGTACTCCAGTACTTTGGAGTATTAGAATAAACTAGTGGCTTGAAAAAATAACATTGCCAAGAGACAGTCGCTGTCAACTCTGTTTTAATGGACAGATGAGATCATCTATACTTATACTATTTGTGTATAATTGCTGCTAAAATATTTGAAAACTGTTTGCTTTCTCAACTATGCTAACATTCCCCTCTGCAATTTGGTTTATATTATTATTATTTTTGGCAGAGCCTCTTTTCACAGCCACTATAGGCATAAATGTCTGCTGAGTATACCCAAATTATCACAAACTCTGAATTATGATCCAAGTTAAATTTTAACTAAAATCAACATATTCAAGGCATAAGAACCTTAGAGCCACTTTATATATGAGACATATTTTGGGGTGGGAAAGGAGGGTTCCAGGAGATATACACAGCATGGAGCGGGGTCAGAAAATGCTTGACGCACTGTATTGTTGAGATGGGGTCTGTGTGTGGATATACACAGGGGGATAGTAAAGGTAAAGTGTTGAAAACGGCTGGATTCATTGTGTTATAGGAAAGAAATAAACATGAAACCATGCTTCAATTGGGATGGAAGTGGAAGAGAGGAGACCCCTAGACTTGTGTTGCTGGAATGGAGTGGACAAGTAGACACATAAAGGGTGGGTGAGAGTAGAGAGTTGGGAAAGTAGAAGAGGTGGATGTTCTTAATGAAAATCCATCCCAGGCTCTTTCAATCTAGCTCCACCATCTAGTTGCTGTTCAGTCACTTAGTCTTATCTGACTCTGCAATCCTATGGACTGCACCAGGCCAAGCTTCCCTGTCCTTCCCTATCTCCCAGAGTTTACTCAAACTCATGTCCACTGAGTCAGCGACGCCATCCAAACATCTCATCCTCTGTTGCCCCCTCTCCTCCTGCCCTCAATCTTTCCCAGCATCAGGATCTTTTCCAAAGAGTTGGCTGTTTGCATCGGGTGGCCGAAGTATTGGAGCTTCAGCATCAGTCCTTCCAATGAAAATTCAGGGTTGATTTCCTTTGGGATTGACTGGTTTGATCTCCTTGCTGTCCAAGGGACTCTCAAGAGTTTTCTCTACCACTGCAGTTCGAAAGCATCAATTCTTCAGCACTTAGTCTTCTTTATGGTTCAACTCTCCCGTCCCTACGTGACTACTGGGAAAACCATAGCTCCACCTCTATCTAAGCTTGCCATATATTAATACCAAGGAAAGCTCATATGACTGTAAAAACAGTCAATGAAATGACTATATTCTAGCAAGAACTTGGCAGGGTTTGCCCACACGAGAATGAGCAGCTAAAAAGGAGCACACGTGGAAATTAGCCAAAGGCAGGCACATTGTTCTCGGCACATCGACAGGGATATGGTTTAACTCAACATGTTGATACTGAATTAATTCAGTCAAGTCTGAATGCAACTGATCATTTCCCCCATAGAAATTTGTGAAATAGATTTCCTTTAATTTCCTATCTGGTTTGTTGTTGTGTTTTGACACTTAGAAATGTCTTCACACTTGCTTCACAGAGCTGATGGGGAGCCTTACTGTGATGCTGTTTGTGGGCTGAAAGTTGTGGCCCGGCCACCCCTGAGCTAGAGAGGAGAGAAGGAGGTGTTAAAAAATAAACAGTGGGAAGATAGAAACAACAATAAACAGTGGGAAGGGGTGTTGGACCAAGAAAGGGACAGAAAGGAAGAGAAGAGAAACTGATGAGAAAGGAAAGGGACAGAAATAGCGTATGTTATTTTCTATCTGACGCCAAGGGCCAGCCTTTCCTGGGGCAGGGGTGGGGAAAGCCTAAAGAGATCTTAGAGGGGTGTTATCAGGATTGGCCCCAATTTAGTCCTTCCTGCCTTTGTTTGGCTTAGTGGCTTCACATGTAGGATCTGTAGGCTCCTAATGTTGGGTCTGGGGGCAGCACTCCCCACAGGAATTGGCAGAATAAATCATCTGGCTTCTGAGAAAACCCAACGTGAGAAACAAAAATAACCTGCGAAGATAAAGTCCCAGGACTTTATCTCCAAATGCCCAGAGGGCATTCGAGTCACTCTGGCAAATCAAAGTCAGCTCCCTAAGCCAGCTGGCCTCCCGACCTTTTATTTTCCGGACTCCTGGCCATTAGCACAGTTATCTGGCTCCAGACTTAAAGACGAGTTGACTCATTCTGCCTTGACTTCTCACCTAATTCACCACGAGAGTTACTAATTTTGCCCCCAAAGTTCTTCTCTTTTGCTCTCATCTCCACCCTGGCCAAGCCCTCACTGCTTCACAGCGAGGCCTCAACAACAGTTGGATTCTACAGACCTGATGTAAATCTTGCAGAGAAATCTTCCCCTTCGCTGTCCCACTCCTACTCACCGGTAGGACACGCACAGCTTTTCACTTGCCTTTCTGAACTGTCAGTGATCTAAGTAAGTGTTTGTTGCTCAGTTGTGTTAGACTCTTTACGACCCCATGGACTGTAGCCCACCAGGCTCCTCTGTCCACGGCATTCTCCAGGCGAGAATACTGGAGTGGGTTGCCCTGCCCGTCTCCAGGGATCTTCCTGACCCAGGGATCGAACCCATATCTTTCACATCTCCTGCATTGGCAGGTGGGTTCTTCACCTCTAGCGCCACCTGGGAAGCCTGCTCTTTTCTCTCACAGCAGTGTTCCCTGGTGCTTCCCAATCTCTGCTTTTTAATCCAAGCTGCTCCCCAAGCTGTGCCCTGTTTCTTATATGGTGCCATCACACACATCATTGCTCCCACCTGGTGTGGGTCTCCTTGTCTTTGTGTCTATTGCCCCTGAAGACCCCCCCCCCCCCGCCTCCAGGAAGTCCTCCAGGATGACTCTAGCCCTGACGGATCTCCCCCTCCTCTGAAGGACAAACCACAACTGCCATGTCTAACCACCCACACTAGCGCTAGGGCATGGGCAACTTTTACTTTCTTCCACATTCCCAGGCCTGGCACACTTAGACACTCATTAAATGGGTTTTTGCATGAATGACAGGATACCAGGACTCTATATGTGTTGATGAGTGATCAGTGATGGATCATTCTCATCACATAAGCACTGATGTAATTCACACACATACCTCCCTGAGTGTGGGTGACCTGAATGGAAGCAATGCTTTGTGGGTAAAGCTGCTCTGGGCTCAGAGTATCTTATAATAGAAAACAGTGGAAGGCAACCCTTACCTGGTGGAAAAACGCTAAGTTTCCAATAAAAGGAGAAGGTTTGGGATGTCTGATGCCCAACTTCTCTAGTCTTGAAAATGCTGATGTGGAGTACCTGAGGGAAAAAGCACATCTTTGAGACACAGGTTTACATTCACACTTTTGGCCCTATCAGATATCAGAATTGTTGAGCTCTCCAGATGTAAGGGTAGGAGAAGTTTCCAAGTGACAACATCTTAGGACTGACGAGGTGGAGGCCTAGAGGTGTGTGAGTGGCATGAACTCAGTAAATTCCTCCTGATTAACAGGCTAGAGATTAAGACATCCTCAGATGTCTTAGCTGAAAGTCCCCTTAGAGATGATGTAGCCCAGACACCCCTTCCCCACCTACAATTTCTGTCAATAAATAGTATTTTTAAAAAAAAAGAAAACAAAATATTTAAAACTGCACTTTGGGAATTCCCTGGCAGTTGAGTGCTTTCAACTCTGCACTTTTACTGCCAAGGGTCTGGGTTCGATCCTGGTCGGAGAACTAAGATTCCACAAGCGGCACAGCATAGCCCCACCCCACCCCTAAAAAGCTGCACCTCTGCCCATTTCAGCTCCTCAACCTTTAAATCTACCATCAACAATTCTCTCGCAAGGTGAGGTGAAAATAGTAACAATGGCAAAAATCAGTTCCCTGCACAAATCTGTGGGGTTTTTTTGGTCAAATTGACCCCTGCACATAATTTATCCCTCATCACATTCCATGACCTAATAGGGAAAAATAAAAAACAGGGAAGGAAGAGACACTCTATGGAACAAGACCTCATCACCAACTGCTTGCAAACCCTTTATGTCTTTGTTTTCATGGCCTGAGACCATATGGGAAGCATATTTTCCTAGCCCCAAATCAGGTAACATGGCCCCACAGATTTCTGTGCCACCTTCCAATAGAAAGCGACAGTTTGAGAAGTACAGTGTTGCTGTCAAAACATTGGAATTACTAAGATATTTCAACAGTTTATGGGAACAGAGGGATAACACAGTGAAAGTCAGAACTAGCTTAGAAAAACCTGGGCATATGGCTGTAATCCCTAATCAGCCAGCCAATTATGTCAAAAGTTCAGTTAGTTCAGAAAAATTAATGAATCAAACTGGGTGTTTAGCATCGTACAAAGATCAGCCAAATCTCAATTTCAGAGCAAGGGAAAATATAGAGAATATCCATTCAGTCAGACTTCACAGGAGCACTGGAACTTAAAAAATCCTACAGCTCCAAGCCTCACTTATCATTAGAAAGATGGAATGTTTGCTGTAGACTCTGACCTTCCTGTTCTTGCCTGCAGTCCAAGAAGGAGCACTTAAGCACATTGCAATGAATACTCAAATATTCAGGGAAAGGACAACAGGTTAACTGTTGATTTGTGTTACTTTGAGCAATGATGCCTACCTTTAAAGTGGCCACAGGGAGAATAAAGCCAGGGTGAAAAGGGGAGGTGGGTTCTCCTCCCAGTTCTCCAAACCAAGGTTTCCACTGAGTGGCTGTACTATTGGGTTTGAATGGGTCCCCGGACATCACATTTAAGTCCACGTTCAAGGGTAATTACAAACCACACTCAAGAGCCTCGTGTGAATTACATGGACTAGTCATGCCAACATTCCTCTTCATTAGTGCATATGCCAAAGGTTGACAGCAGAGTGTGTAAAAGTATTTCAAGTAGACTGTGATGTTTTAAATAATCCCCTTAACACTTAAGACGAAAGACCAAAGGTGACTTACCAGTCTGCTTAACACTTCCCTCAACGGCCTCAAATCTGGTTTCTGGTTCATTTTTTCATCAATTTTTATGAATTATTTTCTAAAACGTAATCTCTAATGGGTAGAAAGAAATATGTCAATCTTGGGCCACGTAATTACATCTTAATTTTGTAATTAGATGTCTTGATTGTCTAATTAAAGGACAAGAAGTCTGTACCTAATTACACATGCTAATTATCATGCAAGCCCATGCCCTAATTATGTAACTCCACTTACAAAAATACCTCTTGTGTGTCTCTGCACAAAATTCAGACATTTCCAAACATATGGCATCAGCAGAGAATGTTCTGGACATAACCATAAACTTCACTTTGCAGCCCAGAGTCAAGTATAGAACTGAAGCGTCTTCAGCTAGGAATGGGCCAAATGTTGTCAGTAACTAGAGACCTTGCACTGAAATCAACAGGAGAGATCATTGCCTCCAGACTTCTGAGCAGAATTACAAAGTGCGCTCCGTTCGTCTTGCTAGAAGTTCCTTCTCTGCATCCATGTTTCATATTCTCCTCTCCCAGACGCCCCTCTGTCTGTCTCAGTAGGTTCTTAACCCAGAATCCATGGACTCTAGGAATTAGGGGTTGAATTGTGTCACCCCTCCAAAATTCAGTTGGATTCCTGTTCTCAAAATACTACCTTATTTGGAGATAGGGTGGTTGCAAATGTAATTAGTTAAAGATGAGGGGCTTCTCAGTGGTGCTAGTGGTAAAGAACCCACCTGCCACTGCAGGCAATGAAAGAGATGCGGATTCAATCCCTGGCTTGGGAAGATCCCCTGGAGAAGGAAATGGCAATGCACTCCAGTATTCTTGCCTAGAGAATCCCACGGACAGAGGGGCCTGGGGGGCTACAGTCCATGGGGCTGCAGAGTTGGACGTGACTGAAGCAACTTAGGATTGAGGGAGGTCATACTGAAGTAGAGTGGATCTCTAAGCCATTATGGCTGGTGTCCTTACAGGAGGATGCCTCGTGAAGACATGGAGACACAGGGAGAATGCCATGTGATAACAAAGGCAGAAATTGGAGTTACATGCCTGCAAGCCAGGAAATACCAAAGATTGTCAGCAGATGACTGGAACCTAGGAAAAAGAAGGATGGATTCTCCTCTACAGAGGAAACATAGCTCTGCAAAAAGCCTTCATTTCAGACTTCTGGCTTCCAGAATTGTGAGACAAACTCTGGTGTTTTAAGCCCAGTTTTGTTATTTTAATATGGCAGCCCTAGGAAACGGGTACACCAGGAATACCCATGGATGAGTTTAGAGAGTCCATGAAAAAAGATTTTTTTAAAAAATTTCCTGTTACCTTAAAAATTATCATTTTGAAAGAAATTTCTTTTTTGTCTCAAATTATACCATTAAGTCCTGAGCTATTAGAAAAGAACTGGCAGGGACTTCCTGGCGGTCCAGTGGTTAAGATTTCATGTCTCCACTGCATGGGGCATGTATTCAATCCTTAGTCTAGGAACTGAGATCCTGCATGCCACATGGTGAAGCCAAAAAAAAAAAAAAAAAAACAGTTCTGGTGGTCCAGGATGCTAGTAAATCAGATAATATTCAGCAGTCGTGTGGCCACCATGTTGCGATATTTAGAACAGCTTCTCTGATGGGAGTTAATGCAAGTGTATTTCACAATTTTGATCTTGAACATCTATCATTGTTTATATTAAGGATACTTAACTTGGAAAATGACAATGGAAAGTATATGAAGTAGCTTCAAATAGCATTCTTTGGTTTTATGCTTACAACCAAAGTGTCATTTATCCCCAAAAGATTCAAACCCTGCAGTACCAGTGCTGCTCCTTCTACTGTCCATTCTCAAAAAAAACCATCAACAACAACAAAAAAAAAACAAAAACCACATGGAACCACATGGGATTGTTTTCAATAAGAAATTCCTCAATACTTTGTCTTCCACAAGACAAAGCGCTTTCCTGATGCATTCAACAAGAGTGGTCAACCAATTGCTTAGCCAAAGAAGCCACTCATAATAAACTGAGGGATATTTTGATAAATTGTGTATTAAATTGATGTATTATAGAGATGACTGAGCTGGTTGAATTGAAGTGAGAGTCATTCACTCCTGTCTGATTCTTTGCGACCCTGTGGACTGTAGCCCACCAGGCTCCTCTGTCCATGGGATTCTCCAAGAAAGAATACTGGAGTGGGTTGTCATTCCTTTCTCCAGGGGATCTTCCTGACTCAAGGATCAAACCTGGGTCTCCTGCACTGCAAGCAGATTCTTTACCATCTGAGCTACCAGGGAAGCTGAGATTAGAGCCAAAGTAGAAAAGAGTCAAACGGTGATCTGTTCTACAGGTTTCCCTCACTGTGTATCTTAAGCTGCAACCATAGAGGACTTGGCTTTTCTCTTCTGTGCTTTTGGGAACCACAGATCCTCAATCCATTCTTTATGTCTTCACGATCCCTATCAAAGAATTTCTACTTAGTGAGCTGCTTTCGGAAATTTCGGAGGCTATTGATATTTTTTGAAATAGTGGAAGATTCCTTTGGCAAATAGCAATTTTCCTTGGATAAAAATCATGGTGTGCCAGGAAGAGATGAAGCCCAAAGGTGCCAGGTAACCCACCTGTCCCACCTCTGGAGAAGAAAAGGCCTTTGTCATGGTTACGCTTTCCTTGTGACACACACAGCCATTAAAGGCTTAGCCAGCAATTCCATAAAAGGCTGTGTGGCCACATGGGAAACTTTATTAGATAAGGACTTACATTTTTGGCTCGTCAAAAGATTTTAAGACACAGGAGCAGAAGATGAGATTTGCCAGCTTTCCAGAAAATAAATCTTGAGATCCTTGACAGAAATTTGGGCAAAAGAGCTAGAAATATCAAGGGAGAAAGCCTATTCCCATTTTATTAAAATTGTAAATTTTTTCTGAGTATATTTTTATGTATTTGAGACCCTAGTCTCTGTAATTTTTTTCTATTTCTTTATTTTTCTACTTTTTCCATTCAACATAAGGAAGATATCTCCATGTTATAAATCCCTTATGAATATTATTTTTATGGTTATATATGCCTCTTGTGGACATATCAAAGTTTACTAAACTATTTTTATTGTTAAATATTTAGGATGTTTCCAGCTTTTTAGCTAATTTAAGTTAGGCCACTACAACTCTATACATCAAGCTTTTCCAATATTTTACACATGAAGCTTTTCTGGATCTGAAATCCCTGAGTCACTGGTTTTAAACACTGGCGTGCAATACCAGATTGTTTTCCAGAAAGCTTGCCCCAGTTAGCCTCAGTATCAGTGTACATCCATTTGAACAAACACTCTCATTAAATTTTTCCGAGTTTTG